ATCAAAACTAAAAATTAAAACCTTTTGCAGACATTAGAGATTAGAAAATTACATAGTACAGCAATTGACCGTCAGATAGACCGAATTAATTCACACACCTAATAATATCAAATAACATAATATGATTTATAAGTATTAATTTAGTAATTAAATATTTGTAATAGTTATTAATCATTAATATTATTTCACACGTTGTAACTGATGAATTATGTAGGGAATAAGACCGAAAGTTAAGTTTTTATTACTATTAATTTTTTTGACGCATGCTGTAGAATTCCTCAGTGGGAAAGCTGGATATACTGTACAGGAATGATGAATATACAATTAGATTCTTGGATGGAGATTTTGCATGATGCCACCGAACAGAAAAATATGATGCTTTTTGAGTATCTGTCTTGTGTAAATGATACACGTATTATTAACCGTTATTTAGATATGATATTGACTTCGGACCTTGAAATAAAGACAGAATTAAACATGGCAAAAATATATCGTTCCATAGTGAAGAAACATATTAGGAAAGATGTCGTGTTGAATTATGTGTTACTGAATTATAATAAAACAATAACCAAGTAGGTACTCCTTTTCATGATCTTTTTTATTATCATCATATATAGTGGTCTATTAAGACTAAATCTAATATTTTGTAATTTTATAGATTTCCTAATGAATTTCAAGATGACTCTTTATTGGGTTATATTTTAATGAATCTGAATTCTGAAAAACAATTAAGCAAGGTAAATTTTACAATGTTGATATTCTGAGTTAATTATTTATCCAAACAATAATTTTATATAATTTTATATTTTCATTGAGCCGCGTGGTTATTAAATATATTCATTCCGAATACATTCAGCTGCATTAGTTATTAAACGTGAAAGAATATGTCGCAAATTGATTATATATAGATCTGAGCAACTATTATTCAATATTAATAAATTTATTCAAATTATCTGTTTTAGATATTTAAGCTAATAAAAACTAAATATCAGATTGTGGATCTTAATATTCATAGTAAGTTTCATATTTGGTATGAAGCACGACAGAATCAAATAGGTCAAATAATAAAAAAGTTTGAAATGTTTTAAAACAATGGAAGTTATGAATAATGAGAATTTTAATCTGTCGAATCAGCAAACAAATTATTCAAATACAATTCAAATGCACGAATTCTACTCTCTACTTTGTAAACTGCACTTTTATAATAGCAAATATTTATATAAAGCATATACATATTGCATAATTAACATATATATTTTTCTAAAGTTTCATAATGTAAACATTAACGGAGCAAATGGATATTTCGAAGAAAGTAAGCGTATCTAAGAAAAGAGACGTACGAATTTCTCTCAAAAACTATTAACTCTTAATTTTTACTTCGTAATTCCTGAATTACAATATTATTTTTTTCATACCCGTATATTGTAAGCGTTTCTTCAGACGCAGTTGTTATCTGTAAACTTAATCTTTCATTTGTGAAGGACAAAGAATTCTGATCCCTTGGAAGTGCAACGTTTTTATTTTTTTAATTAAGATTTTGAATGTGAAGTTAGTTGCAAATTATAGAATGTCCTTATTTTTTATTTTAATGTCCATTAAATCGATAACACCGGTTTGGACCAGTTATACAGTCTACATCCACGACTTTGCACTTTATTACAGTGTTTACAGATTATGTTTCGCAATGTAAATATAGCATCATCGATGATTTACCGCGACATGATTGTCTGTCCAAAAAAAACACCGTTGTAAAATTATATTATTTCATACAGAGATACCAATATTTTTATGTTAATATTCTAAGCATTCTCCAATAAAAAAGATTACATATAATTAATAATAATTAATAATAATTAATAATAATATAAAATCATATATAATTATACATAAATTATAAGTTATATATGATTTATATGTAAATTTTGTCTCTCACGTCAAGAAAATTCACACGTGACAAAATTGATATGAACAGATTGGTTGAATATACGAATTTATAACAATGTGATTAAAGAGCGATTTGATGTCGATCGGTATATTATATACGTTATGTTCTAATTTCTATTTAAAAGTTATATTTAAAATTGTATTTGGTATTTTCGACTTTAATGTTTCGATCTTTCATGTATAATGTATTCTGATTTGCATTAAAATTATATTTAAAATTGTATTTGGCATTTTCGCATGTACACGCATCATTGGTGATAGGAACCACTATGATTTGAAGATATGTACACAATGTAAGAATTTAATTCAGAGAAGAAAAATTTTTCTTGAAAATATTAACATTTGTATATTGAAAAATACTATATCAGCTGAAGCCAGAATATATTCAATTTATTCAAAATATTTGAAAGAAGTGTAGGATATTTTACGTACTATTTTGCGTATTTTATGGTGTATATTTTTATATTATCGAAGCTAGAAATATATTCGCAACTATTAATTAAACTATTAATTAATTGTCGTAAAATATAAATTTGAAGGATTATATGAAAATATCACAAGTTATAGAATATATATATACAGGGTCCTCAAAAAGTCCGGGAACGCTAAAATATTTCGAAAAATATGAAAGATACGAAAAAGTTTGATACAAAAGTTATAGGGTTTAAAAAGATCTATTTAGTAGTCATATCAATTTGACCATAGGTGGCGTTGCTAAGGTCATATGAAGGTCAACTTAGTTTTTTTAAATAGAACTCTCTATTTTTTATTGGAAATTCTTGTAGCTTATCTCGAGAGCTTTCCAAAATACTATAATGAAGTCATTTTTTATTAAGTTCTTTTCGAGTTATTACGTTTCAAAGTTACAGTACCGTCGGCATTAGCATTACCCAAAGTGTACCGCGCGGAGGTGCGATTAAAGATGTTTCTCGGTCCACATATTCCAAAAACGAATTGCGCTCGCTCGTATCTCGCTTTTTGTCTTTTTTGTTTCTTTTTCCGATTATAATATTACATTTTTCTCTGAAAAATATTGACCGAAAAAGAAAGAATATTGCTACTTCTTATTATTTATACTTATTATTTATCGAGGATTTGGTGACCGTATTAGATCATATCAAGAAGTAGCTGATCTATTCAATGTTACACATCCTGATCCTGATCTCCTATTTCTAAATCCACCGTTTGCAGAACAGTGACTAGTTTTTTTTGGAACGAGAACAGCTAAGGATCGATCTTGTAGCGGAAGGCCAAAATCCGCAACTAATGACGATAAGACTTTGGATGTTTTTCAATCACTGCAGGAAAATCGTCATTTGTCCGTATCAAAAACAGCACAAGCCCATGATATCAGTGAAGGCAGCGTTTCTAACATTTTAAAAAAGCATAAATATTATCCGTATAAAATTGTTATCGCTCAAGAACTTATAGAAGATGATTTTGATAGAAGAATTCAGTTTTGTGAAGAACTGATGCATCGGTGTGAGGATAATGCTAACTTTTTGAATTTTGCTATTTTTTCTGATGAAACCATACTTTAAATAAATGGTGCTGTTAATTGCCACAATTGTAGATATTGGAGTGACGAAAATCTACATTGGATGAATGATTTTCGCGCACAATATCCACAAAAATTGAATGTTTGGACAGAGATCTGTAGTCGCGATATTATAGGCCCATTTTTCATAGATGATGATTTTTTCATAGATGATAAATGTTGAAAAATATGAAAATTTATTGCGAGATCATATCAATCCTGAAATTGAAAATTTATTTAACGCAAACATGCAAAACGTTTGGTTCCAGCAAGATGGAGCAGGACCTCATTTTGAGGTACGAGTTCGAGAATTTTTAAATTGTTCTTTTCCTAATCGATGGATAGGTAGAAGAAATGCCATTGAGTGGCCTGTTAGATCACCTGATCTATTTTCTCTTGATTTCTTTTTTTGGGGACACATCAAAAATAAGGTTTATGCGACGAAACCATGTAATTTGGAAGACCTGAAGAATCAAATAATGCAGGAAGCATCTCTGATCACTTTAGAACAAATAAGCCATGTGATCAATAGTTTCTATGAACGTTTAGCTCATTGCCAAACAGTAGAAGAAAGACATTTTGAACATTTGATTAATTGAAAAAGTAAAAAACAATAGCTTCGAAAATGTTACCTACATACACACACACACACACACACACACACTACGGAGAAGGTTTGGAGTCTTAAAATACTGCGAGAGTGACGAACCGTAGGGTCCTGATCTCCGTAGTGACACACACACATACATACACACATATGCGAGGTGTAATTCCGACCGTGCAATCTCCGCGTGGTACACTTTGGGTAATGCCGATTATAACTTTCAAGCGTCATAACTCGGAAAGAATTTAATAAAATATAATTTTATAGTGTTTTGGAAAGCTCTCGAGATAAGCTATAAGAATTTCTAATAAAAAATAGAGAGTTCCATTTAAAAAAACAAAGTTGACCTTCATATGATCTTAGCAATACCACCTGTGGTCAAACTAATATAACTACTAAATAAATCTTTTTAAGCCCTACAACTTTTGTATGAAATATTTTTTCGTATTTTTCATATTTTTCGAAATATTTTAGCGTTCTCGGACGTTTTGAGGACCCTGTATAATATATAGTATATTATATATTTAATAGAAACTTTTCCGTTTATTATGACATTAATATTTAAAATGAACACGAGGAATTGCATTTGTGCTGATTGTTTGGAAAAGTAAATACTAACATTTATAGCTGTTTATAATCAGAGATTATTTAAAAATTATCAGTAGTAATTTGTTTTGATTAATGTTATGGGTTAAATTAGTCAATCATATATTTTTCTAATTACATTTTCTTTCCTATCTAAATACGTGAGTTATATAAAATAATGTTTAACAAAGGTTGTGTAAACGAAACCGTTTTAAACAAATCGTTTTGGAAGGAAACTTATTACATATTGTTTCTGTAAATCACGTGTTTGTAAATGTCTAACTGTAAAGGACATTTCTTACGTGAAATATTATTTTCATTTGGTCAACATTCACTTATTACATATAACGATACTCACAACTATCACCGTTAGTTTGTATTGTTCCTTAAAGAAGGTAAGTTGTGTCAACTCCAAGAAAATAAATTTAATACTGTGTTTCTTTATACTATCATATTCTAACTAACGTTTTAGTATATATGTAATTCTTATTATTTATTATAGGAAATTACTCTAATGTCTATGTTAATGTGTAAAAATATTATAACTTTATCATAAAGCGCATAGCTATTGCATGAGATCTCCTAATTTCTTGATCTTCAATTATTCGACCAATATCGTGTTTATGTTATATTTCGTTTATGATACGTCTTAAATGTTTCGACTTAATCTGACCCAAATGCCTTTCATGAAATTCCTTGCGACATATAAGTATTACGGCAATTTCACTTTATTGTCAGGTTAATCATGGTTTACAAAATTAACAAAATGTTATGATACCTATTTTATTTAGAATATTTGAGACAAATATATCTTATATTGACCAACATGTATTGTTTTGTCTGATAGACGGTACTAACTCTGCCTTGCTTAGTTTAGTGATTCGTTTTTTCTATATATTCTTTCTTCTTTTTCATGTAACAAAATCAAAATTAAAAGGTAGCATTGCTATATAAATGTTATGCATTATTTAAGTAACGTGTTGTCTAATTTAAAAAATAAATTTTTCATACAGAGATTTTTGGACCAGAAATGGGGACAATATACTTAAGAATATTCTGCGGTGTTCTGCTGTTTAATCTGGTTGATCTACTTACTATAGAAAATATCGAAAAATGTACAATCAATTCTGGGCGAATAAACCTTACAAAAGTAGCGCCAATAGGATATAAAATAAAACTTTATCCATCATTTACATTTGAAATGATATCGGTCATAACTGATATTAAAATACAAGTTGAAATACCAACAGCAGATATAAGTTTTCATATACGCAATCCGGATTTGAAAAATGCTTTGTGCATAATATATTTTGTGTATAAAGAGTCTGATGTACTATGGAAGTGTAATGATGAGAAGAATGAAGTTTATAGACCAAACAAACTAAGATATTGTGCTAAACATGAAGTTTTGACCCTGAGCTTTTCCGATTTAATACCCGAAGGAGAACATGTTTTACACATAGAAAACAATTTCCATTGGAAAAAAAGCCACATTGTGTATCCAAAAGATTTGACTAAAGATCTAAAGTAAGTAAATGAAATATTATAATCCCAAGATTGCAATTATAATTATTTTTTGTTAGCCATTGCTCATTTATGGCACTTCAATTGCTATCCTGGAGAAAAACATTGCCGGAATCGTTCATACAACCGTTCAATATAAATATGTTTTAAAGTTTGTCTTAGTTTCTTTAACAAATTTACATAAATTTTTTGCAAATTCTAATATATTTCAAATGCCCAAGTACGAATTTTCAAAATTCACAGCATTTATCAATACTGTATAATGTTGTTGAAACGAATTTATTTTCTTCACATGATGTAATAAACTATAACAAGAGATATTCAAAGAAAAAAATTTATAAAATCCCTGAATAGGTGTACAACTTTGCTTCCGCCGTTTTTTCTCGAAACTCGAGACTTTATTGTAAAAAACTGGTTATACATTTATGATTCAAAATATTGTCCATCGCTTTGTCCATTGGCCACTACTTTCTCTCATTTTTCGGACAGCATAGGAATCCCGCGTTGAAAAAACTGGTCATCTTTTGAAGCGATCCACGAATCGATCCAATTTCTTACTTCTTCATAAGACCGGAAGTGCTGGTCAACCAGGCCGTATGCCATTGATCGAAACAAGTGATAGTCAGAGGGAGCAACGTCTGGAGAATACGGCGGGTGGGGTAGGACTTCCCATTTCAACGTTTCCAAGTATGTCTTGACCACTTTCGCAACATGGGGTCGAGCATTGTCATGCTGCAAAATCACTTTATCGTGTCTCTCGTTGTATTGCGACCGTTTGTCTTTCAATGCTCGACTCAAACGCATTAATTGCGTTCGATAACAATCGCCTGTGATTGTTTCAGTCGGTTTTAACAGTTCATAATACACTACGCCGAGCTGGTCCTACCAAACACAGAGCATGATCTTGGAGCCGTGAACATTCGGTTTGGTCGTCGATGTGGAAGCATGGCCGGGATATGTCCATGATTTTCTGCGCTTGGGGTTATCGTAATGAACCCATTTTTCGTCCCCAGTCACAGTGCGATGCAGAAATCCCTTCCGTCTTTGCCTCTCAAGCAACTGTTCACAAGCAAACAAACGCCGTTCAACATCTCTCGGTTTCAACTCGTACGGCACCCAGTTTCCTTACTTCTGAATTATTCCCATGTCTTTGAGGCGTTTTGAAATTGCTTGTTGAGTCACTCCCAATGATCGTGCCAGTTCTTCTTGACTTTGACACGAGTCTTCATTAAGTAATGTCTCCAATTCTGCATCTTCGAAAACCTTCTTTCTTCCACCGCTATGCCGGTCTTCGATATGAAAATCACCGTTCTTGAAGCATTGAAACCACTCACGACACGTTCTTTCACTAATAGCGGCCTCACCATAAGTATTTGAGAGCATTCGATGAGCCTCAGCCGCAGATTTCTTCATATTGAAGCAGAAAATTAAAACCTCCCGCAAATGACGAGAATTTGGCTCGTAAACTGATATTTTCAATCGAGAATAACTTTATGATGCAGACACAAATCGACTAATGTTTCTATGGGGTTATGTTGACAGATGCCCAAGTTTATTGCATGACGTCTATGATCTATTTATTTCGACCACTACTTACCGCTAAAGCCATCTATAGGAAAACGGTGGAAGCAAAGTTGTATACCTAATATATATATATATATATATATATATAAATGATTTTAGAATGTTTTCTATGACTAGAATATAAAATATTTTTGTTTGATTAACAAGATATTATAATTAGAGTTCGGACATTTGCGTCTAATAACGCCTGCAAAGACACAATGACGTCTTATCTGATGTAGAACTATAATCGTAGTTCTTGAAATTATTTTATTGAAAAATTGCTATTAAAAATTTCATAATATATCAATAGATATTTTGTAACACAAATCTAAAACATAACATATATTTTTTATACAACATGACGGTGTCTTGTTATATTACCCATTGGTATAAACGATGATATTGCGTCTCTCATGGCGTTTAACCTTCGATAGAAGTTTGAATTGGAAAAACTAACGCGGTAAGCGACATAAAGATTCGAAGTCCGCTAAGTATGTTTTTAACAAATGTTTTCTCCAGGATAAAATAATCCATAATATTTAAGCTATTTTGTAACAAATTAAAGAATCAAGCCAAAGAAGAGTTTGAAACCACTTTCGATATAATCTATTTATGTGATATATAGGGTGTCCCATTTTAATGTCCCACTTCAAATAACTCTTCAGTATTGAAGTTTCAAGGAAAATGATCTAAATAAAAGTTGTAGGGATTTAAGTGAGCTACCTTATGATGACCTTGACTTTGACCTCGACCTCTATTCTCATGGTCATTTGAAGGTCAACTTGCGTTTTTTAAACAGGAACTCTTACTTTTTATTACACTGCTTTTTTCTACTAGTTAATTTGAACAACTTTTGTTTAATACATTTTTCTATTTGTCTAATATTTTTTGAGATATTTGAGGAAAACTTGATAACTTTTTCAATATTTAACTTACGATATCTCGCTAACTATTTGCCGGAAGAAAAGTGGTACCAGACTTTCTTGCTTTATTTAGTCTCAAGAAAATATTTTTACAATAGCGCTCTGATTTTTGTTAATTTGATGATTTTGAAATTTCCAAAAGTCAGTAAGTTAACAAAAGTCAAGGCGCTATTGTAACAATATATTCTTGAAACTAAATAAAGCAAGAAAGTCTAGTACCACTTTTCCTTCCGGCAAATAGTTAGCGAGATATCGTAAATTAAATATTGAAAAAGTTATCAAGTTTTCCTCAAATATCTCAAAAATATTAGACAAATAAAAAAGTGTTTTAGACAAAAGTTGTTCAAATTATCTAGTAGAAAAAAACAGTGTAATAGAAAATAAAGATTCCCATTTAAAAAACGCAAGTTGACCTTCAAATGACCTTAAAAATAGGGGTCAAGGTCAAAGTCAAGGTCATCATAGCTCACTTAAATCCCTACAACTTTTATTTAGATCATTTTCCTTGAAACTTCAATACTGAAGAGTTATTTGAGGTGGGACATTAAAATAGGACATCTTATATAAGTCGTGATATAAGTCATTGTGAATAACAATTTGATTGTGAATAACAATAATGAAATTATAATGTTGTGAAATGCACTTTTAAATATAAAAATAAATTCTCAGAAATATTTTTACATCATTGATAAATATAGAATTTTATGCAAGTCGTTATTATGGTTATATAATATGTATATCCACAGACATCAATGTTTCCACTTTATTTTAATTTTTTAATTATATTATTATTATATTTATATTAATATTTTAATTTTAATACTTTATAATTATTCTATTATTTTGTTTAATTATTTTTTTTTCAATGAAATTAATATACATGTTAATGTGCAAAATAATTCGTGTACATTGTTTTATTGTATGGTTTCATACATAGAGTTCACTAACTTCAATATTTTGTACCAAATATTCCACGACAGCAACTTAGATTGATTTATATAAAATACTTCAACATAATTCGAATTTACTATACTAAGTACGTTTATATACGTTTTTACATACGAATATTATATTTTGCTACGGCTGAAAGCTAGTAATTTTCAATTATATTAGTAATTTTCATTTATATTAAAAATAAGCATAAATTCTACTTATAAAAGTGAAAAAAAGCATGATGCTATATGCATTTAATATGAAAAATTCTTTTTATGCTATTCTTACAAATATATGCCAATTAATAATGTATATAAATTATACTAAATATTTATATCTGACTTAAAAAGTTTCTTTTTAAAATGAGATAGCTGGATCATCATAAACTTATACAATTCATACGGGATACGAGAATTGTTTCCATGCTGGGACCAAACGGAACTAGTATCATCTTTCTCCATTACAGTCCAACATAATAAATTATATACGATTTTATCAAATAATAACAAAGTCGATGTTCTACATTACGGAAAAACGGACAAGGGATTGCAGACTACAATTTTCGATCAAATTCCCTATCTATCTCCTTTTTCTATAGCGTTTGTGATAGCACACGATCTAAAAAAATATGACAGTTTCAAGTATCATCGATTGTGGCGCCGTTCAAAGATAATGGAATTATCTGAATACGCAAGCTCAGTAATAGAATTTACAGCGTTATATTTTTATACACACATGAATATTACTGATAAAATCCTACAGAAACACTTGCCAAAAATTGATCATGTTTTAATCCCAGATAGTCCAATTAAGTCCATGGGAAAATATGGACTTATTGTTTACAGGTATGCAGGTCTCTGCTTAAAATGTTATCATTTAAATTATTAATCCAAAAGAAATCTCCCTAACAATAATTGTAATACATTTGAGATCAATCTTATAATCCTTTATGTAATTTCGTAAAGCGTACTAAGTTTGTTTAAGATCTTATAAAGTATTCTTGGTGTGGTAGTAAATACATACATAATTTGCTGATTAATAACAATTTAATCTTAAAAAGTTTAGATAGTAAAAAGAAGAGTTTAGATATTTCAATAACATTCAATTTCTTGTTAAATAATATAGCTAAATGATAATATATAACAATTTTGCGGATGTAAGCATATACTCGTATAATAGTTAAAAGTATGTAATGTGTGTGCGTGTGTTATGATACAAAGGATTTTTGTCACATTATATACTATTAAAACTGATGTGTCTATGTTACGTCATTATGAGACTAAATGTCATGATATCGTATGACATTCCGTTATACAATATGAAGTTCCGTTATATTAAACAAGTTCTATTCTGTTCAGAAAAAATAAGTTAAGCCTCACACAATATACGTAATATACATATAAGCTTCATTAAATTGGACATATTAATTACGAAAAGAGCCAAACAAATAGAACTCTTTCCAATTTACAGAGAAAAAGATGTTACGTACAATAAAACTTCAGATTTTCCAAGCAAACGTGTGGAAATTGCAAAACTAATAACGTACGAAATAGCACGTCAAATGTTCAGCAATCTTCCAAAGCAATATCCAAAGGAAATTTGGTGGATGAATGAGATAATTGCGTCGTTCTTCAACTATTACATTTTAACGGAGGTTACTTTATGTCATTAGTAAAAAGTAGTAGTATTAGTAAAAAGTATAACTACCTGCTTCTATCGTTAAAACACAATGTTAATTTCATATAAATCTACTTTTTATAATATTATATTAAATTCAGCGCAATAATTTATGTTTCTAGTTTACGGTGTGGGAAAAGAAGGCAATGGAACTGTTTGTAGTTCAAAATCTACAGACTGCTCTGGATAGTGACATTTATTTAGAGCGTGAACCGATTATACATAAAGTTAAGGACGATAATGGAATTGATGGATTACTTTATCCTCTTTTATATCATAAAAAAGGTAAGATTTACGATAGTTAAAAACTGTAATTAAAAAATATTTCTAAACTATCTGAATTTTTCATATGCATTATTGTCTGGATCATCACAGCATTTGCTTTAATTCGCATGATGCTCCATCTTGTCGGTCCGTTAAAGTTTCATGCAATGATCAAGGAATATCTTATGAATGTTATATAGTGAGTTGATTTTCTACAATATTAAATATATCATAAATACTTATAAGCACAGGCTCTTTTAACTCTTTGCACTCGGATGTCCTCTCTGAGGGAACATAAAGATTTTGTTAATGATTATACATGATAAACTTATGCGAGCGCAAATTTGTCAAAAATGCATATTTTCTGAAGTTTTCACTCAAATGTCACGAAAAATCAAATCAAAATATGATATATGTACTGAGGTATATGTAAAAATATATCAACCAATGTTACGTAGAAAGAGAATGTGTAAAGTGCGTTTATAGCAGTATCAGCACTTTTCTAATGTCAACACTTGAAAATGGGACTGCATTGTTTGCTCAAATAGGAAAACACCAAGTGAAAGACGCTAAACAAATTACTGTTGTACAATATGCATCAAGGAACTGCATTGCATATCGGTGACTGCTTCGGACGTTACCACACGTTATATATAATTTTGATTTTTTATCATAAATATGTTCCTCAATGTCTATAGATTCATATAAATATAAACCAAATATCATTCATATAAATCATATAAACCAATTATCATTACAATAAATTACTTGGTCTCAAAACTATTTGATACGATGCGATTCCTATTTGTACATTTTTCTGCCAAGCTGTCGGTAGATAACGCGCGAGATGGCTCCGAGTGCAAAGGATTAATATACAACAAAAGTAAGAGAAATCATAGAATATGAAAGCCAATCGTGCGGGTGTTATTGCTGATAATTTTAAATTCCGGGATTATAATGTTTAAACGTATAATGACGCAGGAATATGAATATCTTTCCAAATTCATGTATGCGGCGAGTAAATCTTCTACGCCAAACAATTCCGTAACTTATTATTAATTTTTTATTCATTAATTTATTAGTAATTTATTATTAATTTGAATTTATAAATTCATTAATTTTATAAAAAGTTAATGGATTTAATAAATGAGTAGACAAATTATAAAACAAATCTGAAAAATATTCGATCACGATTTAACATTAATTATTTCATTAATTTATTTATTCATTAATATTAATGAAAAACTCACTACCCTCAGAACTAATTAATAAAAATATTCAGCATTAATCAATTCTCGTTAAATTTGCAAAACATACTGCCTTAGTCAGGAGTCTCAAATTTGAATCTCCTCATTTATCCAGCAACATGCTAAACTAAATCATTGGTTATCGGGGGTCTAGACAATATTTGTTACGATTCAAGTATCTGTAAATTATTTGATTTGATGAAAGTAAACTATACGCTTGTGATGCTTACATTTTTATTAATTTGTAATGTGTTAAGCAAAAAATATTTGACTTCTTTATCAAATAATGTCCTGAACAGTTTGCATACGATAACATATGGTTATATTATTCTTATATTATGTACACAGTTATAATATATTATACATGCATAGGTATATAAGCAGTTAAATGACACGTTTGTTTATGCATTTCTTTAATAATATAATTTATTTTAAAAATTTTCGTTATAATTTATTTTTGAATAGTAATATAAATGCTAGCAACGGAAAAATTAAAGATTAAAATTTATTTACACAGTAAAATTGTTATTGTTATTGACAGTGTCGACTGGAGCTTCTTTGAATTTTTGGGAAAATTCCATGAAACATATTATGGTGGTTATACAATAAAAGAAATAATGGACTCATGGCTAATGGAAAGACACCATCCTGAAATACATTTTTCTCGTGATTATAAAAACGAAGTAGTGAAATACAGTGCGTCATACTTTAATGAGAATTCCAAATATAAGATACCTATAACTTATTCAATTATGTCAAATTTCGATTCCTTCAATACTGGAATGATTATTTGGTACAACGGAACTAAGACGCAATTAATTACTAACGTCTCTTCAAATTATATTTTCATAGCTAATATAGAACAAATTGGTAAGTACAGACTAATAAACTTATAATGTTTCATTATTTATTCTATAAAAGTTCCTATGTTTGTACATATTCTTGAAAAGAATCGAAGTTTTTTTATCTAATTCTAAAAAGTAGCATTTTCAAAGCAGTGTTCGTATGTTGTAGAAAGATAAAAAGGTGAACATTTAATTTATGGAAATGACTTCTGATGATCTTGGTTCTTAATTTATGTTGTAGAATTTATTATAATTTAGTGTATTTATATATATATATTATATATATATTATTTATATATATATATATTATATATATATATTATTTATATATATATATTATAATTTAGTATAATTTAATCTTAATTTATGTTGTAGAAAGTCATTTGTGATTAATGTTCACAAGATTTTAATTGATGGCCATTGTATATTAAAAAAAAATTATTAACAAGTTATTGTATTTATTATCACTTTACAATTTTAGACCACGACTTACCATACGGTAGTAATTGTTAAACTTATCATTGACATATTTATTCATGAATTTCTTTATACATTTAAACTCAAACTTGCAGAAAGAACTGTATTAATTTTTCTAGGGGTCAATATCTTGGCATGCTCGTTTGTTAAGGCAATCGCATGAGGCAAAAGACTCGAACAATATTCCTACAGATCTTACACAAATCTTATTTAGAAGCCCTAACAAATGTTGCTAAAATGTTAAGTAATTATCTACATTAACGGACACCTTACGGATCACGCTTGACCTTGACATATGTTATAGAGGATACATTCTTGAGTAACTTTTTTTAATAAATTAATCAGTGCTCGTGCTTCATTAAAAAGTTATTAACAAAAGAAGTTTGGTATATGCGTAAGTTGCAAGTGTATTTAACACGGCGCGCTACGCGCGTCCTATCCACCACTCCCCATCCCACCACCATATCACCTGCCCCGTCTTTGATTGGTACATCTGTTCGGACCTATCAAAGATTTAAAAGAATTCTCCAATCATGAACATTTGCTACTGAGTGATAGTGGAACAGTTTTCTCCGCTGAACGTAACCAATCACTTTTGTAAACATACTGCTTGTACTGGTACAGTGGAAGAGTGGGTGGGGGAATAGGATGGGGTGAAGGGGCTTATACTGCTTCCTATATTTCTATGTATACACTATGTTTGGATTAACTGTTTGGATTGTACTGTAAATAACATCAGCTTATGATATCTGGAATTTAATTCCAGGATAATCAAAATTCCAAAACTTTAAAATCAAATATCTTGGAAACTATAAGCGACCCCCATATAGTTGTATCAGGAAGTCACTCAGAATTTCATCCTTTATAACATATTTCAAAATAAAAAAATCAGGTGAGGTGCATCCCTTTTTATACATTTACCTCTACTTCAAATATACTTCAACGTACAATTATAAAACTTTAAAGTCAAATATTTCAGAAACTTTAAGCAACCCCTATATAATTGTATTAGGAAAAGTCACTCAGAATTCATCCTTTATAACATATTTCAAAATGAAAAAAATCGGTGAAGTGTACCCTTTTCTATATATTTCCCACCAACATTTTTTTAATAACTTTTTAATAAACAGTGACCGCCAGCTAAAACCTTCCAGCATTACTTAGAGTGATGATCTATATAACATATAACTAAAATTTTTGAGATCGGGAGGTGGTCCCCATTGGTGAAATCATTGCTATATTTTCCTTACTTTTTTGGTTAATAAGTTTTTAATAAAGCACGAGCGTCGATTAATTTATTAAAAAAAGTTACTCAAGAATGTATCCTTGATATCTATCTATAACATATGTCAAGGTAAAGCTGATCCATGAGATGTCCGTTGATGTAAATAATTACCAAATGTTATTTCTACGATAATTTTAGTTTATATGAGAAACTCGTCAATTTAGTAATATGAAAGATTTTAACGATAATTTGGAAATATAATTTTGTAGTTTCATGTTAGCTTGTACGTTTTTATGCAAAGTGAAGAAACCTATAAAACCATATATGAATATTTATTTGTTAATAAATTTTTGATAAACTGTGATCGCCAGCAATTTCTCGAAAGTACATACTTAATTTCTTTTATGACAGGTTACTATCGTGTTAATTACGATAAAATAAATTGGCTATTACTTTCTGATTATCTCCAAAGAGACGGTAGTACACAGATACATGTCCTCAATCGTGCACAGATTATCAATGATGCATTCTACTTTACAACAATAGGCAAATTAAACATTGATATCTTCTTCATTATCATTCGATTTCTAAAATATCAGTTAGATTATATAGTATGGTATCCCATGTTTAATATTTTGTCGTATATGTCAACTTACTTGGAATGTCCAAAAAATGCAATGGTGAAGGTGAGTAAAAGTAAATTTTACAAATAAAATTTTCCAACACTTTTCTATATGTACAGTCGTTCAAAAGAATGTCGGAGAAGGGTACAATACTCCGCAAGCAAATCTAGAGATGTATCTCTGCATTACACGTTTATTATCATGTGTACCGTAACATACAACAAAATGGACGTTATATAATTGTTTCCAGATAGTTTTTTTAGATATCTTCGATGGACTTCTAAAAAATATAATAAACCAAGAAAAAGACAATAAAGACAAAATAAATCCGGCATTAGTATTATTAGGACAAAAGTGGGCATGCAAGCTGGGTCACGAGGAATGTAGAAACGTCATTAGGGACAAATTCCAATCGCATTTGTTCAATAATACTGAATATGACGCGTAACTATTGTTTAAAACCGCTATTTATGATATCATCATGTTTCCAATAAGCTAATATAATTTACAAGCATCAATTTAGCATGTTTTTAATAGTATTTTTAATATCATCTCTCACACCATAATTGATGATTTAGATATTTTGTTTATTATTGTTTATTTCTTTTGACGTATGTTATAGAATTCCTCAGTGGAAAGAATGGATGTTTTGTACGGGGATAATGACTTTAAATATAACTTTGTGGCAAAATATTTTGCACCTTGCTATCGAACAGAAAAATATGATGTTTTTTGAATACTTGTCTTGTTCAGATAATGAAGATATCATTATATATTATTTGAATTTGATATTGAATACGAATCTTGGGACGGAGGCAGGATTAAACATGGGAAAAATATATCGATCTATAGTGAAGAAACATGTCAGGAAAAATGCCGTGCTGAAATATGTGTTACTCAATTACAAGAAAGCACTAACTAGGTACTTTTTATTTTGAAAATTGTACGCTTTTTATTATTGTGAGATGTAATTGTATCAATTAAGACTAAATCGTGTACTTTGTAATTTCATAGATTTCCAGCTGAACTTGATAATAATATTCTATTGAGTGATATCCTTATGAATGTGTATTGCGAAGAACAATTCCATAAGGTAAATTTATAATGCTGACTTTTCTACTTATATATTTATCTCTGACATAATTTTTTTTGATTTTGTATTCTTCGCGTACGTTAAGCTGTTTTAATTGTTAAAACTCAGGAGTCAATATTGCGATTTATCAGTTTTATGTTGGATTGTTATTATTAATCAAGTGATTATTATTTAACACCAGTTATTGCATTTAAATTATCTTTTAAAATCAATCTATACAAATCTGTTTTAGATCGAGGGAATAATAATTCATTTTGTAAAAGACATTTATATTGATCGGTCTATATTCAACATATGGAGTGAAGAACGACAAAATCAAATAAGTAAAGTGCAAAAGAAGTTTAAACATTTTTAAAACAATGAAAAAGAAACTAGTATTGTTATCTGTCAAATTGATGAGCAAATTAATATATAGTACAAACGCACAAATAATTTCTAATGTTTTCTCTCTATATTATAATTTGTTTTGTTGTAACGACTATTTATATAAAATACGTTTATTACACACAATATGATGTATATTCTTTCTGTATAACTTATTAAGGTATAAATGTGTATATAACATAAGTTTTTATAAGTAAAACTTATATAAAACTTACCTTTTTAAGCAAAAAGGTAAAAACAGGCGCCAAGTACAAGCGTAACACATATTGTGTTATTTTTAAAAATTTCAAATCCAAATTATTTTTTTAAGGTATATATGCGTACATAGCATAAGTTTTTACAAGTAAAACTTATAACTATAATAAAACTCTACAACACTATTTGGTACGTGTTGCGCTTGTACTTGGCGCCTGTTTTTTACCTTTTTGTTTAAACCTTGGCGCCCTTTTTTTACCTTTTTGTTTAAAAAGGTATTACTTTCTTACTGAATCGAAATTTTCCGTGATTCGGACTTTATCTTAAATATCTCCATTTAGAGACAACGTACACAAAAATCACAAGAACATTTTGCTTCCTATTTTTTAAGGTTGAATCGATTGGGACTAAAAAAACCTCGATCAGTTCAACCATTGCTGAGATATGAATATCTCACCTCGTTTGAACTCGCAGTTTCGCGTAATATAGGTACTACCGTGCCTCTTGATGTAATGCAAAAATCGATTTCGTAAATAGTGAGATATAGTGGAGCAAGAGGGAATGCCTAAGAAAGAGCATGTATAACTTTTTTGCAAGAACTATTCTTTATCTTTTTCTTTATTAGTGATCATTTAATTTTCACTTTGTAACACACCAACTACAGTATATCTCTTTACATACAACCGTTGTAGATGACCGTTCGATAGTAGTAGGCACCTGTAAAACTATCCTCGTATCTCGGCAAGAACCAGATACTTTAACCTTTTAGGTTATGTCATGTGACTGTTCTCCTAGAAGTTTATTATTAAAGTAACAATCACGAAATTGCTTGTGAATAATAAAACAAACTCACCTTTCTCATTTTGCATCCAAAATACCCATAAACATATTGCAGGATACCAGAATATGGTCCATTTCCACGACTTCGGGCTATTCGAGCGACTATTCACGTTTCGATAAAGAAACGGGCAAAATCTCACATTACGTAAATCGGAAGAAATAAATAATGCTCGATGTATTTAATATTATTTGTGGAACTGTTAATGTTGCATAACAATAATATATTTGTGAATCATTAGATTCATGTTATTTTTAAATAGAAATGTATTTATAATATTTCATGAAAGTCTGTAATAATACTGCAGTAATTAACTAAGCATATGATACATTTAATAAATAAGATGGATTTTGTTGTATAACGCAAGACCAAATAACACAAGAAAATGAGTGATAAATTTACTACTGAATGATAAAGTAGTTTACAATTAGCTACTGGCATTTAAATATTGCCATAATCGTTAAAGCCAGTGTAATTAATTGCGTTAACAAAATGCGTTGTTTCTGTTTTACTCTTTTTTTTATCTAAATTTCTTATATTGCATAAAATTATGTTTAGCAGTGGCTGAGTAATTTTCTGAAAAAATTTGTTTCACACAGAAATGAAATATATTTCAATTTGATAGATCACTCGCACGTATGTGTTTACCGATAAGGTAAACACATGTTACATATGATGATGATTTAGTATTGTTTCTCTCTTTAAACATATAATGGTTTAGTATTGTCTCTCTCTTCAAACATATAACATCATATACTATTATCGTCGTTAGCAGTGATTTGTCGAGAAGGTAAGACGATAATTTTAACTTATTCTTTTAAGCATACTAATTCTTGGAACAAAAGTTTATTCGTGCAAATTCGATATATATGGCAAGGCCCAGAAAGCTATAAATGTTATTCTTCAATTTTAGAATACAATAAATGTTCTTCACAAAATTATCATATATACTTTCAAGAAACAGGCACCAACGAACGTTATTTATATTATGTGATAATATTATTTATTCATTTTCGCAGCCCAAAAGCACCCTTATGTTTTTTGATAAAGTAAACAATATATATATATATATATTGTTATTGCATATATATATATATATATATTCTTTATTGCAAATAGCAGCAGGCAGGAATTCAATTGTGAATTTTAATATATTATTTCTTCCACATGAATTCTATATTAAACTTTGTATTGTATATTTAAGATAACGTACGTTAATGTTCTGTTTCTGACCTTAAATATTATTGCAGACTTGCTTCTTTGTTACTGTATGTAATTGCGGTCGAAATTTAAAATTGTATTTGTTAAAATAATATGTATACTAGTGACTTATTTTGTTTTTCTATTGGATTTGTTTTATTTTTGTATAAAATAAGTAGAAGATTAAAATAACTGTTTAGTTTAAATGGGAAACGTAAATGTACGTATATATATATATATATATATATATATATACATATATATATATATAATTATATATATATTAACATATTATTTTTTAAATGAATGTTAATCTTTTTAATAGATGTCAATATTTCTGTTTTGCTACAAATTGTTTTATATTTTTAAATTGTTTTAGATCTTTCCTTCTAATTTGATAAAAATCGAAATTAAAAAATGATATATTTCATATGCACATTTCATATATACTTAATAGATTCTTCATATAACAACTTTTTGATACAGATATTTGACGCAAAAATGGGAACGATATTTTATAAATTATTCTTCTGCGTGGTCCTAACGTTTACCGCCATGATGGCCGTTGATTCTACTTTCAGGGATGTCTATAAGCTTGCACAATACTGCTCTCCTCTTGATTGGCGTATACCTATGGATGAAGTAGAGCCAATAAGATACAACATTCAGCTTATAGTAAAGCCGTTCATAAAAATGTTGTTAGGCAAAGCTGATATCTTGATTGATATAAAAAAACCAATAAACAGGATAATTCTAAATGCATACAAATTACAAATTGATCGTGAGCATACAATAATTACTAAGTTTGAACCAAAGATAGTTAATGCTACGTTCACATTTGAATTACAAAATTTTGTATATTGTGGTAATGATATTCTGATTCTGTCTTACAACACAAACTTCATTATTGGACGATATTCCTTACATATAGAATACGCTTCTAAGTTAGATAAAAAAATAGAGACATCATGTATCCATACATACGGATTGAGGGTAGTAATGAGTAAGTAAATTCAATATTGTGATCGTGCTATAAATTCGCACATATCATTATATACTATATTGACTATCGATTAATGTTTACATACATTGATGTATTAATAGGATTTTTCATGTAATTTCATGCAACTAAAAAATTTTCAAAATATTCTTGAAACATTTATACGTGTTTCATACGAATTATAATCTATTTAATATCAAAGAAAAATTTCGAAAAATTCATCCTCAGCAAAGAATAATATTTCGAGAACTTTTTATTCGATTTACAATGACATGTTGTATATAACAAGTAGTAACGAAGTAAATGTATTAGTATATATAATAATTAAAAAAAATAATGCATGAAAATATAGACAATGTAATTCGTATCTACTAAAAATAATTAGTTAGTTTCTGATTTTAATTTTTAAACATAAAATTTCAATTTATAACATAAAATACATTAAAAAACCAGTAACATATTACGGACTTTTCGCTTGATGACCGCATAAATTATAATATTTCATATTTGTAAAAGAAGTAAATCTTGATACAAAAAATTGATATAATAAAATATCAGAAGATCTATTTTATCTATATTCTTAAACTACTATAGTTTTTATGGCAATACTTTACTTAATATTTCTATTATTATTATATTACTATTACTATTATATATATAATATTATATATAAATTATACTTCTATTACGATTAAAACTTAGTAAAAATCTACATACACGCCAAAAGAATTGAATAAATGCCAAGTAAACTTTTTAGACTCATATGTAGCTTTGAAACTGTAGAAACATTTTGGTATCATGATTATTGGAAGAAATATATGAAATTGAAAAAAAGATCGGAATTATTCTTCAAGATATTTTGCAAATATAAAATGTAATATAATTCTTGTCAAGATATCTTTAGAAAATATACTATCATATATTTTTTCTAAGCATGTTAAACATGTTGTAACCTTTACATAAAGAATAACGTATAGTGTCTGGAAAGTCATGCAATATACTTGTAATATAAAACGCAATATGAACGCGCCATTTCTGTGAATGTATACAGCTACTCATGTATCTATGTTACATATTCAGTAAACATTAAGTACAGTAACATTACATCAGTGTTATATCATCCCGTACAAGGATGTAACTGCTATGAGTAACATGTATTTTGTGCCTTTTATATTGCTGAGAAAATGTATAATGACATTAATGTAATATCACAATTACTTAATGGTTCTTGCGATAACAATAAAAAATTTGTCTTTATTAAGTATCTCTTAATAAAATGTAACAGGTTTTTATTCACAAATCTATACACACCGAACACTACACGAAGATTATTTCCATGCTGGGATAATTCGACATTTAAATTAGTCTTCAACATCTCAATTAATCATCCTATAGAATATACGGTTTTTTCCAATTTACCTATACTGAAGGTAACATCTAGTGAATTTGGCACACATTGGACGCAATTTCAAGAAATCCTATCTATGTCCACTTCTCTTTTGGCCATAATGATGGCCGATGATATTACGAAGGATCCTAAGAATCGCGACGTTCATTTTATGTGGCATAAAGTGAAGACAAAATCAAATAATAGAAAAGCACTTCTATACGCATACGAAACGATAGAAGCAACGTGGTTGTATCTTACCATGAAATTACAATTACATGCGAAAAGCATTATTCCAAAAATAAATCATGTTGTACTTCCAAATAACCCAATGAGATCCATAGGAAAACCCGGACTTATTATTTACAGGTATATAATATATATGCTTACAATTTTCTTATTTAATTCTTTTGCAAGCCGATATGTCGGCCTCATTTGTTTACGTTCAGACTATCTCTCTTCTGAGTGTCAAATGGCACATACATATTAAAACGGCTGTCGCATTTTTCGTACATATTTGTGGCTGGTAATAAAAGGGTTAAACAGCAGACAGATATCTCTTAATATGATAAAACTTGATAACATATTCGTATATATTCGCTAAAGTTGGGTATGACGAAAAAAAGTATGCACAATTTTTAAAAAGCAAATTTAATTTTAAGACGCCTATTACTCTGTAAGATTATGCCGACTACAAATGTAAGATGAACTAAAACCCATTTATCATTCTGTAATATATAAATAATATCATATTATTTTTGACATAATACGTAAACTATATAAATTATCGTAATGCTTTTAATTTTATTTAAAAAATTTTTTTAAAATAGCAATTTTGTTTTTTTTTTGATGAGATATGCAATTTCAATATATTGCCTTCCGAAAAAAGGTTACAATTTTTTATTATAAGGCTTGTTAGTTTTGTTTAATTTCTTTCTTATTACTACAATAATTTCACACAATAATGAAATACAGAACATATACACATTCTCACCATACATATTGCAACGTGAAATGAGTTTCTAAAGTTCATAAATTACACTAGTAGAATGCGATCTTGGATATGGAAAAAACATACGTTGTCTTCGAAATTTTACCTATCAGAATAAAGTGTTTTAAAATTTTCTTCCAAAATAATATTTCCAAATGATAATTTGCTTATAGCTCAAAAAGAATATAAGTTTAGTATGTATATGCATACTTTAACTTGTATATAAGTAATTGAAAGATTTTCAATGAAAATAATTTCTTTTTTATTTTATAGGGAAAAAGATCTTAGGTATAATATAATTTCAGATTATCCGGGTCGTTCAATTGATGTTAGAAAATTAATAACATATGAAATGGCGCGTCAAATATTCGTTGGTATAGTCGGCAAGAATATGAAAACTGATTTTTGGATAAACGAGATACTCGCATCATTCTATAGTTATTATATTGTAGATCAGGTACTTTATGTCACCAAAATTAATAAGACGCAAACCACTTGCAGTTAGAGCCTCTTCCTGTAAAAATATTTAAGCACTCAAAAATATATTTGATATCAATTGCGAAATAGCATTTATTTATTCTGGCCGCGATGGTCACGATGTGTTGTTTTCAGAGACAAAATCAGAGATTAATGGACTTGTTTGTAGTTCAAATTATACAACCAGCTTTTGATAGTGCCGTTGTTATGGAAAATGATTCAATTATACATAGAGCTAAGAAGATGCTAGTGGAATTGATGAACTACTTTATTCTCTCTTATATCATAAGAAAGGTGAGATCTCTCAGTATATGCATAATATTTGGATTTAAATGTCCGCCCATTCATTTATTGGTAGAGCTCGTTAAATTAAATAGCGAAATCCTTATTTTTTTGTATACTTTAGATCACTTTACAAAGCTTGTCCCATAGCGTCAATTGCGTGCACAATCTTACTTCTTTAATATATTTCTTTCTTTTTTAAATTAAAAAGTATCTTTATTTCTTTTATCGATACTTTACGTGATAGTTTACAAAATGATAAGGATTCTGCTATTTATTTTAACGAATTTTATTTGCGGATGAGTGGTTGAACACTTGAATTGAGATTCTGTAATAATCTTTTCTGTGATAATTAAGCGATTATTAAACTTGATTTTCTGTTTAATTTTAAATTTAATTTCTTTTTAATTTTGTGTTTTTTATTGATTAATTTTCAACATTTTATAAATATTTGAGCTCACTTCTTCAAAGAGAAGAACAAGTTGAAAGTTTTAAATTGTCCCTCTGATAAGAGAAGTAAACTGTAATGTTCCCATAATATCGAAAACAAATCCACAAAGAGTACAATACTAAATTGAAAGTCAGGTCAAGTCTTTCTCCATATTATGAATACTGAATATTAGATGATTATTCGATTATCCCATAATTAACTTATTTTCACACGTATTATTATCCTAGCATTCGGTTTACTTCGTATGCTGCTTAATATAGTCACAAAGGAAAATTTTGAAGAAGCAGTTCAGAGATATGTATACACACGGTGAGTATAAAAAATTGTAACTTATACAGGATGGGGGGTTATAAGTTTACAACCCGAAGTGTGAAGGTAGATTAGGTTAAGACAAACATAAAAGTTCCATACCGTTTTGCGAGATTCGCAATAATTATCGAGTTATTAATGACAGAAATCTGAGGAATGGGAGCGCGCCACCATAGATGATTAGAGAAGCGTTGCAGCTGCTTAGGCCGCAGCACGGCCTAGTCGATCCAGCAACTCATGGGACTTTTGTGTTTGTCTTAACCCTCTATGTCTCCACGAGCTGTAAAAATTGTTCTAACACACTACATGCAAAACCTTGGAAACAAAGATTAATAGTTTTGATACAATTTCTTTCTATTAATCTTGTTGAAACATAGATTTTAAATGGCAATGAAATATAAATTATTATATTGTTATTTTTTGACAGAACCAAGGACTTGTGGAGTATTTTGGAAGAAGTCTATCCTAAAACACAAGATCGCCAATATACAATAAAAGAAATAATGAATTCATGGTTAACATTAAAACATCAACCTGAATTGCATATTTTAACTGATGATGATGATGATCCGATAGCAAAATGCGCTATAACACCTATTTTTTATCCTACTGAATGGAAGTTACCTTATATTTATTTTATGCCATCAAATTTTAGCTTCTACATTAAGCCGAAAGTGACCTGGGTGAGGCGGAACGATTGCTTTATTCCTGTCCCGAAACCACATCAGTTGTTTATAGTTAATTTAAACCAATCTGGTAAGAATAAATTGTTAGAAACCTTACATTGTTAGGACAATTCTACAACAATTTTACAAAAATTCAAGCTATTGATATTATATATTCATTATATACGTGCATTAACAACTAGATGTGATCTACTTGTATAAAGGGTATCCGACGTAATTCGTACATCCCTTCTTGTGCTGGTGAAACTCATCAAACGGGACGAAAATTATTTTACATTCTGCAAGCAATTATAATAATTATTAAGAGATTAATTAAAGAAAATTAGCGAATAGGTGATGTTCATTACCTCATATTCATTCATAATAAGTTCATTAGGTAAAATCTCTTCGCAAATATTTGAATCTATTAATAATTTCTTGACAACGATAGGTAATGTATGATAGGTGACATACAAGGTATAACATCAACATATACATCAATATGACAGGTTACCTGCCTATTCGGACAATAATGTAACTCTGCATTATCGTCGGAATGGGTGCAAGCATAGACATAGTATATCTAGACTGCGTGTGCAAGGAATGGGAATATAACTCACGTAGAAAAGGATATATATGTTTTTACTGTTCGTTCTCTCTTGCACAGTCCCGATGGAAGGGGTATAGGGGAGGCAGTTGCTGTACAGTGCTGTACAGTAACCACCGCCCCTATTCCCCTCCCATCGGGACTGTGCGAGAGAGAACGAGCAGTAAAAACAGAGTGCTTCCTTTTCTATGAGAGTTATACCTCCACTCTTGAAATTTGGGAGAACGCTCAGTTTAGATATACTATGTCTATGGGTGCAAGCAATCCGTTATCCTGGCCTATATGTTGATGTTACGAGGGCAGTCTGAAAACTTCTCGGCCTGACACATAGATGGCATTAGAAACTGTCAAACTATAATTGGAAAGTTATATTGGAATATAAAATTTTATTTCGATCTGTCAAGTCATTCGAATAGTAGCACCAGTTTAATATTGACGTATCACTGTCTTTTTTAAAATGGAAAAAATTGAATATCGTGCAGTGATTAAATTCTTTGTTTTGGATGGTTTAACACCAACAGAAATTCATCCGAAATTGTTAAAAGTGTATAAGGATGCATCATTTTCACTTTCCACTGTGAAAAAATGGGCTGTTCTTTTTAAATCGTACAAGCCTCGAAGATGATCCACGCGAATGTCGTCCAAAAACTGCTACAACGCCACAAAACATTCAACAATGATATGGTGTTAGATGATCGGGGAGTGAAATAGCTGAGGCCATAGGCATCTCAAAAGAATTGGAAATCTTTTGCATGAAGAATTACATATGACAAAGCTTTGTGTAAAATGGGTGCCGCATTTGCTAATAATCAAAAACACATTCGAATGCGTATTTCTCAAGCGTGTTTGGATCGTTTTAAGCAAAATAAAATGGATTTCAAGCGTCGTTTCATAACTGTTGATGAAACTTGGATTTACCACTATACATCAGAGCAAAAAGAACAGTCGAAACAATGGATTGAAGCCGGTGGAAGTGCACCAAAGAAGGCAAAGACGGTTCCATCAGCAGGAAAGGTTATGGCAACAGGTTTCTGGGATTACAAAGATGTTTTGTTGATCGATTATCTTCAGAAAGGTAAAACAATTAACTCTGAATATTATTGTAACCTTTTGGATCTAAAATTCTTGGATGTAAAAATTCGTGAGAAAAGACCTGCTTTAAAGAAGAAAAGAATCGTTTTCCATCAAGACAATGCACGTGTTCACACAAGTATTTTGACAATGGCAAAATTCAACGAATTAAAGTACGAATTGCTTGAACATCCAACGTATTCACCAGATTTGGCTCCTTCTGTCTATTATCTGTTTCCAAACCTGAAAAAATTCCTGGTTGGAAAGCGTTTTACATCAAATGACGAAGTTATTACAGCCATGGATGGATATTTTGCAGATCTTCCGGAATCACACTTTAATAACGGTATTGAATTATTGGAAAAACGTTCGAATAAATATATTGAAGTTTCAGAAGATTATATTGAAAAATAAAACATTTCACGGCAAAAAAAATTTTCTTTCATTGTTAAGCCGAGAAATTTTCAGATAACCTACGTACAACCGGCAGAAACCTGGTTTCTACTTGGTCAGTGCAAAATGTGTTGATAGTTGTTGCAAAATTTATGCAATGTTAGAGGATTTGCTTGATCAATTTAAATGATTTTCCTGCACATGAATGTTGTATCTTACGCATTGCGTCGAACATATTGTACGTTGTAAAATTCCTGACGGTGGATTATATGTCACGAAACATGCAATCGCTTCTACGGAAAATTTTCACAAGGACAATTTGTGATTGAGCTAGAAGCGAATCAATTGTCCAGAAACATTTCTCTATAAGAAAAATAAAAATTATTTTATAAACAAACTTTATTTTATGAGACAGGTTACTATCGTGTTAAATATCCACGCAATTACTGGGATGAGATTGTCTCTTACTTAAAGTCTGACGAGTTTACACGCATACCGGTTCTCAATCGCGCCCAACTGATCAACGATGCGTATTATTTTATGATAACATACACATATAATGCATCCTTCTTTATGGATCTTATTAAATATCTAAAACAAGAGAGGGATTACATAGCGTGGTATCCTATGTTTAATATTATGTTCTACATGTCCACCGTTCTTAAACTGTCATGGGCTTCACATGTGAGAGTAAGTAAAAACACATTTCATTAACATCATCTCTCTGTTATTATTTAATGGATATAGTTACTTAAAAGAAAACATGAAGATTTGAAATGGAAATTTGAAAGATTTGAATAAGCACTTAATTTTCATATTTAAGAATATTTTATATTTATAAATAAAAAATAAGGTTTTTATACAATATTATACAATGCTTCTAGGAAAGTTTTGCGGAAATCCTAAATAGTCTTCTTAATGCAGTGGGATACCAACCGAAATTAGACGACAATAGTATGACGACGCCGTTAATATTATTAGCGCGGAGGTGGGCATGTAAGCTAGGTGTGCCAGCGTGTACAAATGCCGCAACTGCTGAGTTGATACATTATATGAAGACTAACTCATATAAAAATGACTTGAACAAGTAATTCCTTTTACAATCGGCACATTCTTCTTACATATTTGTCTCATATCTTTTGTTCGACGTCTTATAAATTATGTAACTAAGTAGTAATCGGAAGTTGAAATTTCGTTATAAATATTTGTTTCTATTTACAAATATCTTAGGATTTCGTCGATGTCGAAAGACTGGGTGCTTTGTTCAGGATTGATGGCAGCAAGTATAGAAGTGTGGTTAAATTTTATGAAGATAGACGTAACTTATAAAAATATAGAATACTTGTCTTGTGTTGAGAATTCAACGATTATTATACACATTTTGGATTTGATGTTGGAAACGAATAAGTTTGATAAAGTAATACAACCTATAGGACAGATATGTCGTTATGTTATTAAAAAACATGTGATGAAAAACCCTGTTCTACGATATGTGATAAAGAATTATGATAAATTATTAGAAAGGTATTCCTTTTCGAATGTACGTTATTTATTATCGTAAAATGTAGTTGAGTCTATTAATACTAAATCAAACTTTTTATAATATTGCAGATTTCCAATTGATTTTCGTGGCGGCCTTTTATTAAGCGATATGATTCTAAACGTGTATGAGGATGATCAACTCACATCGGTAAATTTCATAATGTCTAATTTTTTAATTATTTATTCATCTATTAAATAATTTTGTTTATTCTCTTTTTTCCCTCTCTATGTTTATTGTGTATATTAATTTGTTTCAAGTATTAAAAAACAAGAAATGTCGTATGTAATATATCATTATCTCGCAAAACTAAGCTGTTAAAATTTAATGCTGATAAATTTTCAATTATTTGTTTCAGGTAGAAAGTTTTGCACGCAATAAATACGTACGTTTAAAATCTGAGAATGATACATTATCTTTGTCCTTTAAAATGTTGTTGCAGACATGGCGAAAATATTTAGGGAAAGTAGATTATAAGTTTAGAAACTTTTTAAAATCAATATAATCTGCACATTCAGCAGAGAAAGGGAGACATATATATATATATATATATAATATGGTGTAATTGAAATATTACAATGGTAATCATCATGATAGTTACATACCATAGAGATTATATGACTTTTGACTTTTTATAACATCAAATTTTTATTTAAAACATACATTTGATATATTGAAATAAAATAATATATTCTTGCATAATTAAGAGTATGAGTAATTATTCATTCAGTATGTTGGAAAATATTTACGAAGAAGATAAATATTACGAAAAAGAGAAATATTATGAAGGGAACGAGATTATTATAAAAGCGATTTATGTAGAAGAACTGGTGTATATACTTTGTAACCTTTGAACTATACATGTTCATGTAGAATAATTGTTATGTTATTGTTATTAAATAAATTATATTGTTTCATTATTTCGGTGAAAATATTTTTACGATCTGAAAATATCCTTGCGAAAACATTATTACGAATGTTTTCGTATGTATAAATTTTAACTGTTAGTTTAGCTGCAACTATTGTAAGTTTGGAATAAAATGTAATAACCCGATTAAGATCAAAGAATAAAATAAACAAGAAGGGTCATGTTTCAGGATAACACAAAGAAGCAAAGTCTTTCTCTGACGGCTTATAATTAGTAATTGATATCTGAAAATTGTCATTATGATTATGATCAATATTGTCATTTGCAATCAAACACATACTTTCTCTTTCACATTCTCTATCTCATCTAGATAACTCGTAACTATAATTAATCTAAATAACTCATCTGGATAACTTATTGCATAATATATTGTTTAATGGCGAACGTGCAATTTTTCCAGATAAATCGCTTCAATTACCAATTTTATAGATGTCGCCTCGATAAATATACTCGTACGCATGTACGCAACGATACAAGAGGCGTCTCCTATGTATAATCAGTCTATTTAGCCATTATTTACTTCGCACATATATAACGATAATAACTACTATTATTGTTAGTTAGTTGTAAGTAAATTAGTTGTAAGTAAGTCCGTCAAGATATAATAATCGTAAGTTATTTTTTTCTTGAAGCTATAGGTAATAATAGTTAAATGTATACAATTAATTATTAACCAATAGTCAAATGTATATAATTAATTATTGCAAGAAAATATTTTCGTACAGCATTTGTTTGGCATGTAAGGCGATGTACATTAAAAGTAGAAAATCTAAGTGTTTTTTCCAGATTTTAAGACACTATAAATATTTTCTAGGAAATATATATAACCCTCGCTTTTTCTAAAAACGAATATGATAAACGTGGACATTTATACTTGAACATATCATTTTTGCAGTTATTAATAACACACGTCTTTTTTACTGAAGTAGCTATTTTTTATACAGGTGAATGTTTAAAAATTCACAACATTAATTTCATCTAGAAGTTTTCTGAGCAATATAACGTCAATTTTTCCTGATCAGAAACGTTAAGTAATAGTATTGAAGACATAAATAAAATTGAAACAAAGCAAGGATTTTCACTAAATAAACTTTGAACGACTAAATGGATAACGAAAATATTATTTTCAATAAACTTCAAGTCTTCAATTTAATTAAATTTTAATTTAGAGTTCAGCTACAACTGTTATGATAAAAATAGACCAGTGATCATGAACAATAATTTTGCTCATAACACTATGACACTGGATAATTTTAATAAGAAAAGGTTATCTCCAAATTGCTCAGCGAAATTTTCGATAAAATTAAGATTACAAACACTCTATATATCGCAGATGAAATCAAATGATACAAATATGTATTTTAACATGTTCAGTCCTTAGTATAGTTTGCGTTTTATTTTTATGTTTTATTTTTATGTTCAAGATATCACACTCAAGTGTTCTGTCTTTTGCGAGTGACTCATTGTCAATATATTATCAAACAGTTTTCTTAACGAATATTGTGTGTAGATGCCACCGAAATTCCAAATTATATTTGTCAACAAGATATGTTATTATTAACTGGTTATTAATCTAATTTTATTTTTGTTCATTTTCCACGAAAAATTATTTCAATGCTCGTTAAAAGTATTATCTTTACATCCCGCATATTATGTACATATTATAACTGTGACTTTTTCTAATCTCTTTATCTCAAACCATACAAACGACATTGTGTTTATATTGTGTTCTGTACGGTTTTTGTTTACTTAAGTGCTTTTCAAAGTATGTATAAACAAGATGATTAAATATAACTGTATATATATGTATAACTATATATATATATATATAGTTATATATATATGTATATATATATATATATATGTATATATATATATATACAGGGTCCTCAAAAAGTCCGGGAACGCTAAAATATTTCGAAAAATATGAAAGATACGAAAAAATATTTGATACAAAAGTTGTACGGTTTAAAAAATCTATTTAATAGTCATATCAGTTTGACCATAGGTGGCGATCCTAAGGTCATATGAAGGTTAACTTTGTTTTTTTAAATGGAATGCCTAATTTTTTATTGGAAATTCTTGTAGGTATCTCGAGAGCTTTCCAAAACACTATAATAAAGTCATTTTTTATTAAGTTCTTTTCGAGTTATGACGCTTGAAAGTTACAGTACCGCTGGCATTAGCATTACCTAAAGTGTACCGTGCGATCAAAGATGCTTCTCGATCCATATATGATATATTACCTCTTTAGATAGACAGCGCTACCTGTTTTGTCTTTCTTACTCCACTTTTCTGTCTTGTTATAAAAGATATTAAAAGAACGATATTTTAACACAGATAATTGTTTTCACAAGTACTGAGTAGTTTTTACAGTTAAAAAATAAACCATTCGTGCATATATTTGCAGCTGCAATGGGGGTGGTATTTTTAAAGCTATTGTTAAGTATCGTCCTCATGATCACCTTGGCATTGGCTGATATACATCTCAAGGATATCATGAATTGCTCGCTTACAACTGGTCCTTCATCAATCACTAAAGTAAAGCCAAGGAAATATAACATTCAACTTACGATAAAACCGGAAGAAGGAATTATATTAACTATGGTTGAAATTATGATTCATATCAAAGAATTGACGACAAACATAAATCTGCATGTACGTGGTATGGAAACGATTAGTCATAACGCAGAAATCATACCGGTTCAGTCAACATTGAGTCATCATTATCGTGACCGTAGATATAAGCCTAATAAACTGTTGGACTTTAAACATTGCAAAGAAAATGACATTTTAATCATAATTTTTGAAAGAAACATAGATATTGGACAATATTATTTATATCTCGAACTCATTTCAATTTTATCTAAAAATGAAAACAATATTTATTTTCCGTATTCGAGTGAGTATAATTACCGGTAAGTAAATGAAGAAATATTACAATCGCATAATAAAATTGTCATTTGCTATATGCTATTGTTCAATATTCCGATATTTTCTTTATTACTCAAAATCGGCTATTGAAACACAGATTTTATAATAAGCGTATTTTACAAGCATATACTAACATGTTATTTATCTAGATTAAATGATTACAGAAGTTATTTTAATAATGGTTCTTTCTTAAAATCCAATAGGCCCTTTATCACGAACCTATATACACGAAATGCGATACGAAGTTTTTTTCCATGCTGGGACAATCCGACAATAACAGCAATTTTCAACATTTCAATCAATCATCCTATATATTATACTGTTTTTTCGAACATGCCTATATTAAGGACGACTGAAGAATTGCAAGGTGTACGATGGACGTATTTTCGAGAAACTCCATCGATGTCAATATATCTCTTAGCGATTGTAATAATCAGTAATATAACAACATATACTAGCTATCAAGGCATCAATTCCATGTGGTTTCAAACAGATATATGGAAAACGTTTAAATACGCACATAATATAGCATATTCAGCCACAGTCTATCTTTCTGCATACACAAATATAAGAACGTTAAGCGTTTTTGAGAAACTTAACTATATTATCGTTCCTAATGGACTGAATGGTATGATATCTGCAGGAGGACGCCAGCTCGTTCTTTATAGGTACTTAACATACATTCTTAAAATATTAATATTTTATATAAATTGTTAACATCGGAAAGAAACTTGAAAAACGTAAATTTCGAGAACATATATTTGTATCAAAGTTGACAGTATTGAGAAAGAATATTTATATTCATAAGAACAGACAAAATCAAATACGAAATACGGTGTTTTATAAATTATATAAATTACTAAGAATAAACAAACATTTTTATAAATATATAAATATATGTATGACAAACTACATGAACTATATACTTTTTTAAAATGTTTGGTGAAGAAAAATATAATAAATTTGCTTAAAAATACGTTTCTGTTTCACATATTTCCGTAGAATCCTAGGTGTAATAATTCTGATATTGATCTAGTTTCTACGTATAATTACATATACACACGTACATTAAGCCTTTTATGCCTTAAGCTAATTGTTAGTTATTTCACTCAGGGCTCATAAATAATTCTTAATTATAATAAACAGGGATCTTAAATTGTACATGTTAATAACGACGAGATTCTTTGAGAAAAAACATATTTCTATTTGATTTACAGAGAAGAAGATATTAAGTACGACGAAGCTTCAAACTATTTTGGTCGAAATATTAGTGTAACGACATTGGTAGCTTACGAAGTGGCACGCCAATGGTTCGTCGGTTTTGTCAGTTTGAAATTAGAGAATGACATTTGGATAAACGAAATCTTAGCGTCGTTCTACAGCTATTATATTACAGCTCAGGTTATACCTTGTTCAGAATCAAGTCAGAACTAGTAAAACACAAACAAATTTCTTTTGCAATTAATATATATTGTTAATTTAGCTAAATTAATCTATTAAAAATACTTAAGAACTGGTAAATATTTTTGATAAATATCGCGGTAATACTTTGTCTTTTTATTAATTTGAACAATACCAATATCATTTATAATATTAAATTGGTATTAAATGTGATAAATTATATTTTCTTTTTCTTTTAGATACAAGATATTGAAAGATTAACAGAATTATTCCTAGTTCAAAATTTACAGACTGTACTAAATATTGATGTTTCTTTAGAGCCGAAACCTATTATGCATAAAGCTAAGATGGATAATGGAATTGATGGATTACTTTACTCTCTCTTATATCACAAGAAAGGTGAAACTTCATATTTAATTAATCATAATCAGTCGGTTAATTAATCATTTTAAGTTATATGAATTTTATATATGCATTTTTATATAAATTATTATAGCATTTGTACTAATACATATGTTACACCACCTTCTTACTCCGGAAATTTTTCAACAGGCAATTGAAGAATATGTAAAAGTGAGCCGGTGTGTATGACTAACATTATTATAATGAAATCTTATATTTTATCTTACTTGAAACGTAATTATAAGCGTATTAGTATAGTTTCTCAAAATCCCATTTATATATTTCAAACATTATAAATTATACGGAATAAATGTAAAGAAATACAATTCTTTATTAAATTTTTAACTTAATTTAACTTTAACGTTATTAAATTGATAACTTAACTTAACTTAACTTTAACTTTATTAAATTGATAACTATATGAATCAGTTCAAAATTTAATAAAGAATTGATATATATATGTATATATATAAATTTTAGCATATTTTAATTAAATATTAGCAAGAATATTGAAGAAGAATATCGACAACGTTTAAATTTTGTAATTATAATTTAATTGTTATTGTTTCACGCCAGTACTTATAATTTATGGACCATTATGCAAAAGTATTATAATCATGAAAACAAGAGCAGATATACAATAAAAGAAATCATAGATTCATGGTTAACGACAAAGTACTACCCTGTACTGAGCATCCAGAGTAATAATCGTCGGCGCATAATATGCTATACTTTTGATAATTCTGACGATTTGGCTAAATGGAAGATACCTATAAATTATATTACAAAATCAAATCTCACTTCTTACAATATCACAAATATTATTTGGTTTGGACAAAAGCAAATGGATATTATTAATGACATCGATAGAGATGATTTTTACATACTTAATGTAGGACAAATCGGTATGTGTAATCTAATCAACTTATCACATTTTGTTTAACACTTTCTATGACATATTTTGCGATTTACTTCATAATTCTATCTTATCTTAGAAGAAAACTACACCTAGTCCATACATATAATTATAATAGTTTAATAATTATAATAGTAACAATATTTGTGTAGAATATTTCGGACTATTGGTAATACGAGTTATGTACAGTAGAGTATTTTATGTTATCTACTTGCGTGTGTATATAAAAACACACACATATACATGTACATATGCACATGTTATATAAAGGGCATATATTATTAAATATATATTAATTACATAATATAATATAACTATATTAATATATACAAATTAACGTACATACATATGTATTATATGCATACGTTTTGTAAAGGAATTTGCCCGTTATATAAGCCTCAAAAACCGTTCAATCGTTCTTTTTAAAAATGTTTACAACGTTAATAAATAATTTGATGATAGATAAATGAAACGTCCAAAAATATTTTTTGGTAAGCACAATTGAAAATAACTCATGTACCTAACTTCTTTCATGACAGGTTTATATCGCGTTAATTATGACTACAGGAACTGGTTAATGATTTCCTCTTATCTACAGTTTGACAAGTATTTAAATATACCTGTTCTCAATCGCGCTCAATTGATTAGTGACTCGTATTATTATGCGGTTAAAGGTGAACTCGATTCATTTGTCTTCATTGATATCATTCGATATTTAAAGCGGGAGACGAATTACATAGGGTGGTATCCTATGTTTAATATTCTGGATAATATGTCGGTTTATTTAAATTATTTAAGAGCAAATGCAACAGTGAGTATTTAAATTCCATTGATAAAGTTTCTTTGCTATATTTTTATATACATGTTTACCTATAAATCCTAAGAAATAAGAAAATATGGCACTCCGTGTGCAAATCTAAAAGTGATTTGCACATTTGGTGTTTACTTGCATAGAAATGACATCTTCATAAATAAGAAGATATTTATGCAAGATTTATGTTACGTAACGACTTTCAGAAGCAACATTTTCTAAATATCCTACATGGACTTCTTCAACATGTAACATACGAAGAAAGTGCAAAGGAAAACCATATGACAAGTACATTAAGATTATTAGCATTAAAGTGGGCCTGTAAACTTGGTCTTTGGAACTGTAGAAAAGCTGCCAGTAATCAATTGCAAAAGTCTATCCATAATCCTGAATTGTACGAGTAAATTTTTTTAATAATTGTCACTTGTTAATTTTTATTAGTTTTATATAATATCTCTAGTGTATATATCATGATGGATGAAATATCTAGTTGAGAAATAAGATCGAGAAGTTTTTCTTATGACTGTTTATTTCTTTCACGTATATCATAGAATTAACCTGATGTGGAAAGACTGGATATTATGCACAGGAATGATGTTAACAGACTGGCTTGCAGAAGAGATTTTGCAAAGCATTGTTCAAGGTGAAAGTTCGGATTTCGTACAATACTTAGTCTGTTCAGAAGAAACAAACATCATTACGAGTTATTTATATTGGATGCTGAATTCAAATTTTGAAAAACAAGCAGAATTAGAAATAAGACGATTATATATTTCTGTTGTAAAAAGACACGCGAGAAAAGATGCTGTGATGAAATATGTGTTAGAAAATTATAATACAGCAATACTCAGGTATTACTTTCCATGAGAAATTTATGCTGTTTATCACTGTAAATGTTGTGTCTATTGAGACTAAATCCGATGTTTGTCAATTTTATAGATTTAATGATTTTGGTAATGGCACTTTAATTAGTCATATTATTATGAGTGTATATTCAAAGGAAGAGCTGGACCAGGTAAATTTTATATTACAAAGTTCTATAGCAATTTATTAACTTTTCCAATTTTTCTTCATGTGTATATTCGTGTACATTAAGTTATTTTTTAATTTATTAAAATGCGAGAAACTACATCGTTATATTTATTATTATATTGACTTTTATAATATTATTATTCATTAATTAATATCTAAATTATTTGTTCCAGATATATATATTTGCACGTAATAATTTTAGTATTGATAATCAACAACTGTGGTCTATGATTATATATTTAATTGAGATACGAAATAAGCAACTACTGAAAGAACAAAATAAATTTTACATGTTTTAATGGAAATTTGTTTGTAATGGAAATGAAACCAATTTTATGACCTAATATAGGAATATATTGCCGAATCAAAAAACAAGTAGAATCGATAGATTATTTTACTTTCTTCTGTATCATAAGAAACGTGAGACTTGATAGTTGCGGTTAATCATTCACATGGCAAACAATGTTTTATTGTTTGTGCCCTAAATGACAGGGAAATAAAAATAGTTCGATTTCGATGAAACTTACACACAACAACAGAAGTAAAAAATAAAAATATATATATATACTCAATATATCCTCGATTATCCTCAAATGCACGAACCCTGATTTAAACTTGATGAGCTGTATTAGCGGGTTTAAGAAAATAAATGTTAAAAACAATAGGCGCTTATAATAAAAAATTAATATCTAAAAATTGTTGATTCCAATCGCATGTCATCAAAATTGCTTACATCACTTAATCACACACACGTTTTCTTATATATACTTTCCTGTGTTTAAATAATTAATAATTAATATATTGCATATGAGAAAGCAATGGATATAAAGTTACTCTTCTATGTTTACGAATGAGAAGTCTCCTTTCCGCCCCGGGATCAACTAAGTTCTCGATCGCAAACGCTCGAACTTGCTGCAATCGTTAAAAGGGGCTCACCTTTTCCGCCTAGCGTCCACCAAACCGACAATCACGTCGCAAAACACCAGCATACTGTTCGCTTGCGTGACCTTCGCACTTCACTCGCGCGTCTTCAACTCACGTTTCGCGGTTTGACCCACGCGTAGCCGGTGAATTAACGCGAGATTAAATCGTTCGTTAACGAGCAGGATCGATGTTATTTCACACACGCATACACACACACCAATACTATTTTCACCATATTAAGATACCGAATATTCCGTAAGAGATATCAACTGTTGTCGCGCTCATTTCTGTGCACTTACGCGTCGCGACTTAATCAGCGCGCATCAACAGGGATTATTAATTATATTAATAACAACGTGATCGCAGAGACCGATACGACATCGGTCGGCGCCGAGGATACAATACGTCCCGGTCAGCAGCAGCGGCAGCAGTAGACGAGACAGTGCATTCGCGTGCTCTAACATTAGACAGAGACGGAAATAGATCAGGGAGTGAAGAGCTTCCTCTAATCGGCTTCCATCAGTTTCTGGATTTCGAGCAGATTAAATTATAAATAAATATAATCCGAATACACGAGAGAGAAGTGGGGGATTTTAGTACAAAACACAGTGATCTCTTTGGTTGTCGCTGAAAAACCGGACAGCTTTTTGTCGAACCCCACCCGGTGCATTCCGCGATGTCGGGCCCGATAAATAAATCCTGCATATGTGTTTTTCACGCGACAGCGTGAAGTTGGAACATCCAACTCGACCCGACGAATAATTCGTAATACTATGGAAATGGTGTTGCGCAAGTGCATTCGCATGGAAATTTCTCAGGATTTTCCCAGATGTGACGTAAATTCTGATTACAACTTCCCAATTTAGCTTAAAATTGATTATCCGATCATGATATTTATTGCGAATTCTTATTCTAAACGCGGATTCTCTGTTTAAGAACGAAACGGAAATATTACTATGGAAACTTGCGTTTTTTCTATCGGTAACGTCGATATAATGTTAAACAGAAAATCTTATTTTTATAACAATTATAGTACATAAAGAATAAAAAAGCAGAAAAATGAAATTTTAATGTAAAAATAAATAAATGAAGATCAGAAGAAATTTAAAAAGTTTTGAATTTTACACTTAGAGAATAGCATATTTGGGACTTTATATTTTTTTGCATATATATATATATATATATATATATAAAGATTTCTCAAGATTTTTTCAGATACATTGTTAATTTCAGTTAAAATATCCAGATTTATTCGATAATTAGTTAGAATACCAATTGGAAAATGTTATTATTAATCTAAATATGAGTTTTCCATCTAAAACGAAAATAGAAATATTATGGCGATTTTTTTTCATTCGTCATTATAACGTCAGTACTTTTGCACATGAAAAATTAAATTGCTTAAATTTTCCACAGATCTATAGCTTGCTGGACAAAAGTGGATATTATAATTAAACAGATTTTATTTTTTCAAATAATTTTGTCAAATTTATTTTGTCAAATAATTATTTATTATATAGTTTATTATGCATTATTGTTTGAGCATATTTTTATTAACATAGATCCAAATAAGATTACCTAACTTGTTCTATTAGGTATGTGAATTAATTCGGTCCGTTTTTTTCTTCCAAAAAATACTTTAGTATGAAAAAACATGAAAAAGTACACTAATCAAAGTATTTGCCATCGCTTGCTATTATTTTTTCCCATCTGTCTGGCAGTTGTTGGATTCCGTGACGGAAAAACGACTTGTCCTTCGAAGCGATCCATTCATTGAGCCATTTCTCTCTTTCTTCATAATTGTTGAAGTGCTGGTCTGAAAGCCCGTGTGCCATCGATCTGAACAAGTGATAATCGGATGGAGCAATGTCTGGTGAATACGGCGCGTGAGGTAAAACGTCCCAGCCAAGTGCTTCCAAGGTGGTCTTCACAATCTTTCCAACATGTGGCCGAGAGTTATCGTGCTGGAAGATCACTTTGTCGTGTCTCTTTGCATATTCCGGCCGCTTATTGTTCAATGCGTTGTTTAAACGGATCAATTGTTGTTGGTAAAATTCGGCAGTAATGGTTTGACGGCAGTGATGGAAATGATGCTTTTTTGGCTCGAATTTCGACATTTTCGAATCAGGTGAACACGATATTATTGTTACAAACCCAAACATTTATCAACTGAATATTATTGCCAGATATGAAAATTAAAAAATAAAGCCTTTTGCAGACATTAAAGGTTAAAAAATTACATAGTACAGCAATTGACCACCGATGGACCGAATTAATTCACATACCTAATAAATAAATAGATTATATTGTAACA